AAAGACAGGTTTTGAACAACGCTCATGTGAGGCCTTGTCAAACATTCTGGGGTCTACTGCGCAGTGCACAACGCTGCATATTGTGTGTATTAAGATGTATTAAGGATATTGTTTTCTTTATCATGTTTTCAGAGGAGATGATGCAACAGTCTTTCTCCTCCTAAAACTGCTGTGTCCTGGCCAGGACGGCATGCAGGAAGATGCCGCGGAGTTCCTGGAGCAACGCGTCAACGATCTTCAGGACCTTGTGGGTCCCATGAACTCCAGGTAAGATGAAGTCCAGGGAAGTCGCGAACTTGATTTTCTAGTGCAAGCTAAATCCACCATGTGGATCCATTTGGATTGTAGAACCTCTCCGACCTACGTCTCGTTTCTCGGAACCTCATGCCGCAGTCGTCGTCTTGGAATGCCGCTGGCAGAGGCGTGGCCGGGGAACGCCGAAACGGTCCAGGAGGAGCGCAATTTGCTCATCGGGAAGATGGAAATCAACCAGGTACAGTTCCAGCTTCAACTGGAGGTGCCTTGTCAGGTGACCAACGGGAGAGGGCAAATGGTGCTTTGTTTATGGGGGGGGTGGCCTTGGTGAAAGAAATTTTGCGGGAGCATTGGGGGAATTATTCAGCTAATGGTTGAGGGAACGTGTTTTGAGTGCGTTTTGCTCTCTGAAAAAGATTGTTCCATGTAAGTTTGAACACCTTCAGAGTGCAATGTTGTTTGGTTGGTTTGTGGTGTCAGTTGTTAGGAAGATCAACTACTCTGGTTTTTCCTGCTTTTAGTGTGTAGTTCCAGCAAGGAGCACAGCACCCGACAGCACCTGACAGCCACTGTCGTGGTGTTCAGATGTGCCCCGTCATGGCAGACAGCAGACAACGTCGATTCGCCCCGTGTAGCATATACAAGAAACGCATGTAGCAATGCCACCTATTGGAGCATACTTCTTGCAAGGTAGGTATGGAAATGACTCCCGTTTGAGAACCTGGTGCGGCCACTATTCAAGCCAAGTTATATCTATTGTTTAACTATCTAATTACTGTATTTATTGTTATGTTCAGTATTGACATGGTATATATACATCCACATAGATATACCGGATGCTTGCAATCTCTGTTGATGAAATTTTGCTAGCCCAGTCTCCACAATGGCAATCAACGGCATCACCTGACCAGCCTACACAAAGTTGGCTTCCCAAATTTGGAACCTTCCGCCCCGACCGTTCACTTTCGGACTTGTGACAAGGGACCAGGGACCTAATCTGCGCGAAGATTACTGACAGGACTCCAACTGTGTTTCTCTTCCAAGCTGAGGAACTCCACCGAGAATATGTACCTTGGGCATTTGGAGAGTTTGTGAGGAGCTGGTCCCAACGTGTTCAGCACGCGTGGTGGGAGGTACGATCTCCCCCTCAAAAATTCAGAACAGGGGACTGTGGTAGTACGCATTTTGCACATGTTCTACCTAGATATTTATTTGTAATATATACATATATATATATATATCTTGTACTGCTATCTTCTTCTACTATCTTATTTTTGTCTTAATGTTGGTCTTGGCTGTTACTTGCTTGGTGCTAAGAAGGCTTCAGCATGGCTATTCCATTTGCATTTGCTGTTTGTAAGACATAGGATTTGCTCTCAGACATTCACGTGTTTCTGTTGTTCTTTGTTTTCTCGTTGGTTCATTAAACACTCTTCACTATTATACTTGCTGCGGTTGTGGCTTGACATTGAATATTAATATAGGATACATATCAACAAAATTGACAGCGCAAAGGGTTAATAATGAATTAACATAGTGTCGTTGTTCAAGCAATGGCATGCAAAGACCAATGCAGCTCGGGCCGCCACTACGTTACGCATGGAGAGTTCACCTCACCTTTCAGCAAAAGAGGCGTACAAATATATATATATATGATGATTATGTGTTGATACATGTTTATGAATGAATGAACTGAACTGAACTGAACTGAACTGAACTGAACTGAATGAATGAATGAATGAATGAATGAATGAAATAGCACTCATTCAGAATTCAATCCAACCGCCTCTCCACTCAGCATTCTGCGGCGTGACATGTCTTAATCCATGGCCGGAGTGTGGCGTGGGGGGAAAGAATGAATTCTACAAAATAGTACGTATAGTTTTGTCTTGATACAGTGTTGTAGTTATATACAGTGTATAGTTTTACAGTAATGTCAACACCGGCTTAATCATTCCCCCTTCAAGGTCAACAAGTTCAACAAGGTTTGAGATTGGAGTTATTATTGGAGACCACATCCCCTGATTAAAGGTAGGTCCTAATGATGGATGATGGTTGATAGGATTCTGTGTGAACACTGAGGCCTGTGAGAGGGGTACCCTTTGTGAGCTTCAAAACGTTAGGAGTTTGATAGAGGTTTAATTAGGGAAAAATAGGTTTGCCAGAGGGGTTTTTGGGATTGTGGGACGATGATTGCTGGGGAGAACATTGGCAGCTTAGATTGCAGCTTTAACAATGTGCTAATGAATGGGTTATTTTCTAGGGGCAGGTGGGCTTGATTAATAGGGTGAGGTTTCTGCCAAGAAAGAAAACTAACATGGTGATGGAACTGTGGTTTCAAGTTTTAAATTAGTTTAGTATTTGGGGCACGAGCTGGGCTTGATTAAAAGTGGGAGGCTCAATCCAATGTTGATATTGCATAACAGTTTATTGAAACCCACATATATGGGCAATGGGCATAGCGAATAGACATATTTTGATGCATAATAATATTTATGTGTTTGCATGGTTACATGTTCTTGGAAGTTGTAGTTCTTGTACATTTCAAAGCTACAGTATATAACAAAATGATACCTTTATATATATATATATGTAGAAGTAGTTGATAAATCCTCTCCATGGCTTTATTTTACCAGGGCAATTTCATTGCTAAAACATTCTTGGAATACAGTATTGCAAATAAAACAAGTATATTATATATGATTAAACATGAAATTGCAAAGCATATGATAGATAAATTCTATATAATGTAAACATGTAAAGAGGTAGAAACATATGAGGAACAAGAACAAGGTGTATTAGCACAGTCCCCAGCTCTCTTAAATTCCAGGTGCCTGGCTTTATTTCTGAGGGAACCTTTCGGGCAGCTTTGTCCTGCCGAACGCTAAAGCAGAGGAGGGTTCCTTCTTTTTTGTACACACTGCATTGCAAACTCCAAAGGCCAGAGACGCCTGGCGGTTTTTCTGAGTCAAGGCTGGACTCTAGCGGTTTCAGGAGCACCTGGGATGATGTGCCACCTTGATCCCGATTACGTGCGTTTTCACAACCTTAGCAAGTCAGTCATGAGGTGTTTGATAGGATCGCCTCTCATGGATTTGTTGCTTAGGAGGTTGACACCTCCATGAACTGAGACTGCGTTATTTTTGTCGAGTGCTGTCCAATCAGTGAGGCTTTGAAGATGCAGGAGCAGCAAGAACGCTTCATGGATCAGCCCCTCGGTTCACGTCTTTTCCCACCTCGCAGGTGGCGCCGAGGGTCGAAATAGAATGGAATATATAAATTGAGGTGGTGCCATGGTATTTGGGAGTTTCATTGGTACATGGTAGTTTCATGTTGTCGCATCTCCGTGTTTCGTTCCCAAACAGCGTGGCCACACTGGGGGTTCTTATACTCTAGTAGTTAAGACTGGGCGTTTGATCGGAGGTTTTCTCATCCGTGTCCGGCTAATTCGCTGCTATTTACAGTACATTCATTCACCTGAAGATCGCCGAAGTGCATTTCGACTGCGCAGCTTCGCAGAAATTGGTGGGCCTGAGCGGTTGCATTCTTCGACCGCGCTCTCATTGTGGTGCCGTGCGCATTTTCGGACTTTCTGTGTCCAAAGTTGTCCTTTCATGGCAGCAGGATCTGGGGCGGTTTTATTTCAGTGTGCAGGCGCAGGGCAAGGCAGGCGCAGGGCAGCACTTTGGACATGGCGGTGCGGAACGCCTTGGCAGGGCTGCGCGATGTGAATCTTGATGTGCAGATTTTCATGGCAGGTGCCGTGAGTGATGACCTTTGGACATGTGGTTCGTTGTCAGAAATTGGAGAGAGTTTCGAAAACTTTGTGAACCACAGTATTTTGTGGACCTTGAAGTGCAGATCCGCTACAGAAACCGCATAGGCATAGACTTTGCGCCTGTCCTATTACTTGCAACAGCCACAAAGCAATTATCATTTGTTGAACAAGGCCCTTACTAACTATCATCATCACTGTTACAGATAATAGGACAAACCCAACATAGACTTCTAACCTCTCCAACTGTAAACCTTGAGACTTCCTATAGGTTGCTAGGATTTGCTAGGCATCCAGGCCGCTCCAAGACCTCTGCACCCCTAGATAGGCCTCTAACTCTAGGCCCCTATGCCTCTCAAGACCTTTGGCTAAGCCCTCTGGATCTCTAGACCTCAAAGAGTGCATGGTCAAACTAGGTTTTGTGTTTATAAATGTGCTCATATGTGCTCGCAGTATTTGCTCACAATGCATGTTCCAAACGGTCAGTGCGTACTTCATGTACATATATATACAAAAATATACTAGGTACAGATGACATTGTGAGTTGTGCAACGGCCTCCAAATCACCACCTTTCCTATGTCATCTGTCCACGGTCTCCAAAAAGAGAGGACAGAAATGTAAAAAAACAAAACGCATCTCATCTGTTCAAATCCTCTGAATCTCGGATTCCAAGGTGGCCCAAGCCCTACAGAGTCCATGACAAGAACCAAATCGCTCATGTGGTTGTGAATAGGTCAGAGTCCCATCTCATGTATCCGCAACCTATAATACCGGGATTGACAAATCAGGTAGTGGTTGCGTGAGATAAGACCTGCAGATTTGATTCCAGAAAAGGATTCGAACTCCAGATATGTGTATTTATGCACGGTGTGCATACAAAGTTCTCACATGTCAATGTTAGAAGGATGAGAATGAAGGGAGGATGAGAATGTCATGTTATGCACCGTTTGTTATTCTCGTTTTGTGAGGATGAGAATGAAGGGAGTCCCATGTCATCTTTTCTTTTTGGGTTCATATTCATATACCATTCAAAAAAATCAAAAGAAACATGCATCTCATGTATTCTCATGTGTTCCCGGCATTTGTCACCTTCTCAAGGTATGTATCTCATGTGCATACGGTGCGTTCCAAAACTGACCATAAAGTCCTGTGTGATCTGCCCCTAGTATATATATATATAACTTAGTAGGGGGTGCTGGGAGGGACCAAAATTTTTGGTCCACCAGTTTCTTCTCCGAAGACTGAGTCACACTTGGTCGTAATTCGTCTACTTCTAGAAATGTTGCTGGCGGCAGGTGTGACTCACAGCTGAACTGCGCTCGTGCCTTCGCAGTGCCAACTCTGCCTCACCTGGACATCTTTCGTTGCGTGTGCCGGTGGCCATAAAGATCATAAAGCGACCTGGTATTTTTCGTTTGTGCAAAGCATACTCTGGCCACCTTTTGCTCACCAGTGTGCACGCTGTTACGCTGTTTTCGACTCCAATACGTTCTGCACATGCAGACGGCCAAACAGTGGCGAGAGATTCTTCCGATTGAAACGAACGCTTTTGCCACTGCCTGATCACCCGCGCGTGTTCTACATGCCACTCGATGCCTCCAAACCCTCAAGACTAACATTCTGCTACCGCTGCGACTGCATATGCGGAGCAGGTTTGCCTCTGACTCTGACAGCTCCGCCTACTACGTACAAACGTTGCTACCAAGTGTGAGTCATGGCTGAAGTGAACTCGCGCGTTCGCAATGTTAGCGCCTGGTTTCTTTACTTGCACGAAGAACACCCCGGCCACTTTCTGCTCCCTTGAGCCTTGTGTGCACGTTTTTTCCGACTTCGACGCGTTCTGCACATGTCAAGTGCTACTTTTCGAAGCTCTTTGCTGCACTGCAAACATGAATTCAAGACTCTTGTGCCTTGTGCTAAGTTTTCCTGCTTTGGTGGATGCATTGGAGACAAGTAGGACTTCAATGCCAGATCAGCACGAGTGGTTCGAGAGCGCACACAAGGTGAAAGAGTGCTTACACTCGTTACACTTGGAAGACTTGGTCTGCAAGGTGCGCCTCACATCAGAGTCATCGCTGCCAAAAAGTTGCCACGACGTGTTTTCTTTGAAAAAACACTGTTGCAACGGCCTGCTCACCCGTGCATGTGAAGCCGCACGCTACGCGTGAAGCTGCACGCTACAGGTAGCGTTGCGGCTTCACTGTACGTCCTCTCCTTCACGACATCATTCGCTCTGCCCTCCGGCCCACCTTCCGGAGCTCTTTGCCGCTGGGCACTGGCATGACGCCAAGACTGCTGTCTAAGCGGGCTGCCAAGAATTGAGTATCCTCTTGAACGATTCTCAGCCCGCTTGGCGTAACAGTGCATCGTTTTAGAGTTTTGTGCAAGCTGAATGCAGCTGACAGATCCTCACCTTTTTAAAACACGTTCTACTGGACTACGCACGCCTGAAAACTCTGTCTCCACTGCTGCTTGCGTCTTTCAGACTGTTTGGGGTATCTGATCTGGTGGGATGATTAGTGAAGCTCAAGTGATGCGGTATATGTCAGGTCCCCTCGAAGCGGAAGATCACAAGGTCCCAAGCAGTGACAGGCATTCAGCCGAAAATTTTTGCAACAAATCCAAGGATCGCAGCCCTTCGCACTCAGCTGGATCTCCAGCACATACCAGCTTCGATCACCTCACTTCAGGCGCCGAGATCGCTGGACACAAGGCGGTAGGTGGTGAAGACTGGTCCAGGATGGAACTTGAAATTTACGGGGCTCATCACTAAAGAACCAGAGCCGGCCAAGCGTGCTTGACTGGGCACCCTTATAAAGAACCGTGCGAACGACGTGGCGGGTCCGGGGAGCGCTTTTTTCGTGACGGCGCCCACCGACCGGAAGCGAACCGGAACGTCAATCGGTGCCATCGATTCCGAAAAGAATTGATGGAGATTTGTGGAGTGACCGCAAACCAAAAAAAACAGAGCGAGAGCGAATGAAATGAAACCACATGAATCGTTGACCGCCCTTTGATGATTTGGATGTTTTCCCCCAATGCTGGACATGAAGCTGAAGCTGGAGCGCGGCAGAGTGCAGCGGTCATCCTCCCGCACTTTGAACTGACCTGGGGGCTCCTGTCAAAATGTCACTGTCCAGTGGTTTGCTGAACACAGTTTGTTTGGAAAGAGGAAAGAGGACGGTGAGGCTGGAGCTGACGGCCACCCGTCTTCTCGTTGTGAGTTTCAGGGACAAGTTTCCCCAGTTTCCTCACCACATGAAGCCTTTGGATTTCTCCAGTCCAGTCTATTTAATAGAGGGTTAATAAAGGGTAAGGTACAGGACTTCCACCGTTTGATGATGAGAACATATGAGAACCATGGTTTCCTCTAGATGTTCCCTCAATTCACACCTTCGCTGCTGGAGTTTCTCTCATCACTCCATCGCTCTGCCATGGACGCACGCGCCGGCCCTGCGGAACGCCCTTCGTACCGCTCGTATCGCTCAGGAAGCGAGTAGCAGCCATCCCACACTGCGAGACGAAGGCGACTATGGCTTGAACATAGCACATCCCAAAGGTTTTGTTGGGAAAACGATTGCTTTGGGCCAGGTATTTGTTGGGGCGTGTTTCCTCATTCTTGCTGCGGAATCAGGTGTTTTGAATAGTTTTAGATAATTTTGTTGACTAGTATGAAACCAGTATGGGAGGACCGAAGATTCCTACCGCGCAGTATATTATATATTCTCAGTTTCAGGCTTTGATGCTTCAACGTCTTCGCGACGTCTCGTTGGCCCGAGGTCCTGCGCTCAACTGGAGTCCTTCGGTCACTTCAAGCTCGCAGGAAGGACTGGAAGCTGCTAGTGATATGGATTCCGGACCAGTGTCGTTCTCAGTCCTGCGGGGGGGGGGGGGTTTTGGGTCGGAGGAACGGCAGGAAGATGGTATGTGTGGGGCGGCAGACCCACGACTCAGTAGACCAAGCAGGTGCTGCATTTTTTCTCTACTGCCCATGCTTAAACCAATCCAATGCATTTTAACACTTTGTAATGCCATGTTGTCGTTGCATCCGTCCCTGGCCCAGGCCCCGCGGACGACATCGACGCCGACGCGGAGCCACTTGGAAAACCGGACATGCCCTGAGCACCATCGAGATGGGATTGAGATGGCGTTGATTGGATGGCGCTTGTTGAACTTGTTGGTTAGACTGAAAGAACATCGAGTTCCAGTGGTGGATTGAGGATCCTGTTCGAGAGAACCGAACCCGAGAAATCTCCGGAAGCAGCCGGAAGCATGACCAGAGTGGAAGGTCCGTGCTTGTGGGTCATATATATACCTGCGCCCCCTGATCCGCAGGAATTGCTACAGCAGTCTGAAATTCTTAAGAATTTGGTGTTTTAGAGGAACTTTACGCAGCAGTACGGCAATTTACGCCGCAGCACGCCTTTTCTTGCAGCACCACTTCTGTGCCTTTCTCAGCTCAAGGCCCCATACATGGAAATTTAAGTCAGTATACGGGTAAGCACGGTTGAGTACGCCTTGATACGGGAATTCCTTCGGTACCGTAAGAATTGCTTCAGCAATGCTGGATTTGTAAGAATTCTGAAGCGCTGCTACTATTTCCATGTTTTTGGTGTAGCAGGTATATATATATACTACTTTACAAACAGGGAACTGGCACTTTTTTACATGAGACATGAATCATGATATTGATAATTTAATATAAGTATATATTCTATACAAGCCCTACCAGACTTGCATGTTACATCTCCATGTGGAGGGTTGAGTGAATCCGCAGCCAACACTAAAATCTATTAAAGATATAGTCACGGTCATGATCCATGTGGTCTACCATTGGTGATTAAGAGTCCTGCCGCTCCACCGCCTGACCGCCTGACCAAGCGCCCAAGGTGTTGTCAGCTCAGGCGCCGAACGGCCCGCGCCCGCTCATCCGGCAGAGCGATGTCATACTACCATACTATCATACTACGTACAGACTGACGCACAGACTGTGCGGCTCGGACACGTTTTTCCCCACCTGTCAGGCGAGGGTTGTTAGAAATTTAAAGATAGTTTTCTCCTTCCTTCTTTGACTCCCGCCTGCCTTTTGCCGCTCCGGACCTCGACAGCAAGTGCCCGATCGCAGCGGGCAGTACCGGACCTCAACAGCAAGCGCCAGATTGCAGTGGGCTGTGCCGGAGCTTAATGGCAAGCGCCAACACAGAAGGCAACCACGTCCAGAACTACAACCCACAAACACAAACACAATCACACGACCACAAAACGAAACAACCAAAGTACAGCCACAAGCACGCAACCACAATAATTACCGAACCAAAAACGCACAACCACAAACACACAACTACAGACACACAGCCACAGCACACAACCAGAACACACAACCGCAAACACACAAACACACAACCAAAAGCACACAAACACAAGCACACAACATGCTCCTCACCATGGCGTGGCAATATCGAAAGCCACAAAACCAGACAAAACCCACGACTATGGCGACGCGCTCTTCACCATGGCATGAACACAAATGATTGACATGTCATGGTAGAGACCACTTGAAATTTTAATATTTTGCCCCCACCTGTTAGGTGAGGGCTGTTGGATTTTATGTCAGCTGCCTTCCTCCTCGTGCTCCTCCTCCTCCTCCTCCTCCTCCTCCTCCTCCGCTCCGTCCTCAACCGCCAACTCCGGATGGCAGGTTTCCCCGGCGGACCCCAACCGCGAGTGCAGGATGGCAGCGTTCCCCACCGGACCTCAACCGCCAGCTCCGGATGGCAGTGTTCCCCGCCGCACCTCAACTGCGAGATCCGCTTGGCAGCGTTCCCCGCCAGACCTCAACCAGCACACAATCACAAACACACAGCCACAACACACAAGCACAGTCACAAACACACAATCACAAACACAACCACAAACACAACCACAAACACATCCACACACACACAAATAATATAACACACACATAATCACACGAACAAGGTTCACGGCTCTCTCGCCGCCCGTGCAAGGGTGGCTCATGTGTCTTCACCCTGCGCGTGGGATTGGGTAACCCTCACAATGTTTGGAAGGTTTCCATGGATTCGCAGACCCTTGCATGGTCTGATTGAGGTTTGCACGACCCAACAACGCTGTCCAGCTCGGCGGGGAGGCGTGGCTGCGCATCGTGGTGGTGCACACGCGCACGCCGCGGCCGTGCGAGACGCGGACTCCCTGCAGGTGCACGCGTTACCAGGGCACAACGTTTCTCCTCCTCCTCCTCCTTTCTCCTGCGCCTCCTCGCCACCACGACTCAGTCTTCACTGCCAGACCTCAACCCGCCTCAACCGCAAGCTCCGGATCGCAGCCAACACTGCCAGACCTCAACCTCAAGCGGCAGATCGCAGTGGGCACTACGGGACCTCAACCACCAGCTCCCGATCGCAGTGGGCACTGCCGCACGTCAACCGCAAGGGCCGGATGGCAGTGGGCACTATATACTGGACCTCAACCGCAAGTGCCAGATCGCAGTGGGCACTACCGGACTTCAACCGCAAGCGCCAGAACGCAGTGGGCACTACCGGACTTCAACCGCAAGCGCCAGGACGCAGAGACTTTCGGCGCACCCCTGAAGTCAGAATTGCGAACACCAGCTTCCTCTGGAATTCACCAGGGATCACAAACACAACTACAAACACAACCAAAAGGACACTACCGCAAACACGGAATCAAAAACACACAATCACACCGGCATAACCACAGACACAACACACAACACACAACAACAACAACAACAACAACAACAACAACAACAACAACAACAACAACAACAACAACAGCAACAGCAACAATAACAGCAACAGCAACAGCAACAGAAACAGCAACAGCAACAGAAACAGCAACCAACAACCAACAACCAACAACAACCAACAACAACCAACTACCAACTACCAACGACCAACCACCAACCACCAACCACCAGCCACCAACCACCCACCACCCACCACCCACCACCCCACCACCCCACCACCCCACCACCACCACCACAACAACAACAACCACAACCACAACCACAACCACACAATGGCAAACACACAGCCACAAACACACAATCACAAACACACAACGACAGACACAACCACAAACACAATCACAAACACATAACCACAAAGACAAACACAAACACACAACCACACAAACACACACAAACATACAAATACACAACCACAAACACACAACCACAAACCACACCACACAATCACAAACACGCAACCAAAAACACAATCACAAACACAACCACGACAATCACAGACACAACCACAAACACACAGCGACAAACACAGTCACAAACAATCCCGAACCCGAGGATCCGCAAACATGTTCCTTACAATGGCATGAAAACAAATGATTGAAATGTCATGTCATGGTGTTGTTTAGATGGGGTAATCCATTCTATACTTGAAAGAAGATGTGGTCTAGGTCGACCATGGGAATTTCATGGCGGACATGTTTGGAACAAGAGAACTATGCGGCTGGTGCCGAGAGAAGGTCAAACTGTTGGGACCCCCCTGTTGCACAACACTCAGATGTGGCCTTGCGCAAACGTACGCTGTGCCTGCAGAAGGCTCCAAGTCGAGACCTCCTGAAACTGGACGTTTGATGCCTCAAAGCTGTGATTTGTGGAAATACCAAGAAGTTCATTTAATATCCATCAACGTTCGGGCAGGCACCGACAGTGGAACGGATGATTCGTCTGGTGCCGTTCGGAGCTCCTGGGCATCGAGTATCCCGGGCGTCCTGACATCGTCTCAGCCGCAACGGAGCCGCGGCGCTTTCGGTCGAATTCAACTTCGTGACTTCGTGCATGGCGACTTCGGTCGCACCCATCGGTTTGGATCTCGTGGAAACCACGAAGTGACACCCTGATTGATTGGAGGGAAGATCATCCGGGGTGATTTTTAATATTCATCTGGAATTCTACAATGACAAGTATGCAGTATGTTTTTAATGTTATGGTAGTATGTTATAGAGTTACAGATTTGCAGATACATGTACAGTGGAGATAGATCCGCCCGCGTCACCGCGTCCCTTCTCAAACCTTGCTCCTCTTCGAGGTTTGATCTGGCGGATTTTGAATGTGCTTCCCAACGTGGCGGCGCTCATGTGTAGTATGGATGCTGTGATCATCCAGGATGTCACTCGAAGAGTCGGCATCCTTTTAGGCTTCTCAGCAGTCACGGGTGCTGCGCGCCGGGGGGGTGGACTGCGGCTGTAGGAAGAAAAGGACCCAAATTAGGAAAACAGTGCTTTTACGGCCCAATTTGGCTATTGACAAGGGAGTGGCGACTGCGTTAGGCGAGTGAGCCGTGTTATTGGTGAATCTGCAATGAACTGGCTTTTGGTCTCAATTCTTCTGGCATGGGGCTGGGACTTACAGGCGGAGGTTGTATACCAAAAGTGCGGATAGAATGCCAACCAGAAGAAGTCTCAATCACAAGTTCTTGAAATCATTTTTGCTGGAAGACCCAGCTGGGGCATTGGGGGCTTCACCTACTATCATTCTGAATGACACATTGAAGGATTTTGACTGTGGATGAATCCTGACAAACATGAATACCGATCTACGCCCGCGAACGTGTCTAAAACTACGACGTGTTTTTCAAAACGTGTCTAATCCACCATCAGATCACCCCGTTGGGCCTTCGGACCTTGTGCCTTGACCCTCCCTGGAGCGTGGGTCCTTTTGTGCGCATGTCCTGAGGTCAAGGGACCACCTTGCTCCTTGGATGCAGAACTGCAGGATGTGAAAACACGAGTTGCCAAGTCACCCAGCTTTGCATGGTTTACATGTATATACATTGTACATCATGGATTTTGGGGAATTGATCATCATTGCATACTGCGTCGAACCGTTTGTGGATTGTTTTTTGTTTTTTGTATTCATGTGTGTAATATGTTGTAATGTTTGTACGCCTCGGCCTCCTGCTTCACCGAGGATTGGCAAGTCTGTCTATACCCTTGTGAAGGAGACTTGGGGCCATTCACATATCATATCTTCTTCAGACTGTCACAGTCGCATTTTCAGGGACTGAGTCTTTCACCCAAAGCCTCGAAGTGAGTTCTGAAAAATGACGGTGTTGTTTCCACGCGATCGGGGGCGTTGAAAGGGCGTTTCCATGCGTTTCCCAACAAGTGCCGTTGTTCTTTTTTCCAGGGGACCTTCCACTTGTGCACCATTACGTTGTTTGGTCTCTTCACAGGAAAAGACGTCTACTACGGTGGACAGTAACAGCTTGGGGGACCAAAGTATTCTATGGTATCCTGCTAGGATCCAGGAACCTACAACAGCATCACCAGCTCTTGGGCTCCAAGTCTCCTCGGCAGGTATTTGGACCCTCCAAACCCACCCCAAACACCTTGTCAGAAGGTACTTGGTGCCGTAGGGGAGAGTTGTGTTTTTTTCTCCCTCTACAAGAATTAGTTCTCTTTCAGTGAGTAGTAGTTGTTTTGGGCAGCTTAGAATTGGCACTCTCGCTTTTGGCACATGTTTCTTCTGCTTTGTCATGTCGCACACTTCCTGAGACAGCCACTCATTCTTTGTTCCTTGAACCCGTCCTGTTCGGGAAAACGTTCGGAGCCCGTCGCCCCAATCAATGAATCGTAGACACCTCACCTTGGGCGGGCGTCCGACATCGGGAACCGCTCCTCAGCTCACGGAATGGTCGACACGGTGACAGGTGTCCTGGCTCAAACCATGGCTCGGGTAGAGGTGTACCAGGTGTCCTTGTCATGTTTCACGCTCTCGACACCTCTACCCTGAAACGCCCGGGTCCTCCGTTGGAGAGCTTTTGCTCAAAGGATTTCGGACCAGCAGAGCAAAAATGGGGAGGCTCCAGGCTGAAACAAAAGCTCCCAGGGCCCCACCACGGTGATTTGCAGGGTCTTGGCAAGAACTTGTGGGAGTGAAGGTCAAAGATAGACCGATGCCAGATGACCACTGTGTCTAAGAAGCTCCTGCCCTCAGAGAATGCGGGAATTCTACTCCCCCTCCAAGACTCATGCAAGCTTTGTTGGAAGACCATGTTCATCCATTGTCCCTTTACAAACTGACCAACACATCAAGGGGTCGTCCGAAGAGTGCTTGTTTTGTTTGGGAATACCGTCGGAATACCGTCGGGACTTCGTTCTTCGCCGGTCTCAGGAGAAGAATGTGATGTCTTTGCAACGCACCATCATGGCAGCAAAGCTGAAGAATGCCCGATACAGTTTAAGGTGAAGGGTGTTTATAACATGTAAGCCCTTTCAATGCATACATGATTGCCGTTTTATATCTCATTATATATTACTAGCACGGGCAAGTCCTGGTCAGGTCATTGGTTTGAGTCGTTTTAAACTGTGACTCGAAAGGGATTGTTTCCAGGCCTTGCCAGCAACCAACAATTAAGGTTACAGCCCGCAGGTGTATGTTTCATGCTCAGTGGCGGCATCAGCCTTATCATGAAATCATAGTAGGAAACGCTCCGTAGTGATTCTCAGATGTTGCAGTGTCTTAATTATGATCATTATGCATATGGAAAGGCATAATCCCAACTGTTTCTTGGGTCAAACGGCCTTGACAAATCTTGACAATTTGTGTTTGATTATTGTGGCCAATTGTGGCTTTGACTATTGGAGCCACTTGTGTGAGAGTTGCTACGGCTTTCTACGTGCTACGGCTTTCTACGTGTTTTTGTTCAACAAAATCTCGAACGAATACGGTTTTGCTACGGGTAGACCTTGACAATGTTTTTGGTCATCACAGGCAAACACAAAATTTGGACCAACAAACATGAACGTTACGACTTTTCAACTAATGACCAGACACAATATATAAGGGCGTTTGGCTTTCCAGGCAGGCAATCAGAATGAATGAGCCTTGCAGCAAGTTGGCTGTTTGAGGGCACCATTTCAACAATCTTAGGCAAAGGGATCTACAATGGATTGACCATCGTGGACTTCAAGTCCAGGTTCCCTCATAGTAGGTGCATTGATTGATCAACAAGCTGCCCCACAAAGAGATCATGGGAACATGTGGGAACTATGCATTTATACTTTATACACAATTATATATGCAATAATATTATATATATAGATATTAACCGGCAGGTGGCAAGTTGGCACCGGTTGAGCCTAGCTTTGGGACATTCAACTTGCGCCGGATTTGTTCCGATAGACGCTCATTTGTGGTTGAATGCCCGATTGGACGCCTGGCTGTTCTTAGATGTGGGAAGGGGGTTTGGATGGGTTCATGTTCAGCTCCTGGATGTTTGTATCATTCAAGCAGGCAAATGACATGATGAAGTGGATCGTTCAGGTTTAGTCGCCCCCTGGAACGCATCAACGACATGGACTGATAGACCGAAGCCAAATTAAAGACCTCCTGCTTCATGAAAGACGGGTGTTTCAACTTTGTGCGTGACAAGCTCAGATCTGGCTGGCTCAATTCTTGACAGAGAAAGACTTTGTTTTGCACCCATATTTCAGCTTTCTTTTGGAGAAGATCGCAGAATTCGAGTCTTGCTAGCAGCTGGTGGGATTTCCAAAGACCAGCAAAACACCTGGTGCTTTTAACAGATTTTTGTCGATCCGCTCTAAGGCCAACAAGCCGCCAGAGGACACTGAATTCAAACTACAGACGCTCTCACTTGCCCGTAGCTTGGTGGTCTACAATCTTGTGAAGCCAAGCATGGGCACATGCGGGTCGATGTACCAGTTTCATTTGGGCCCATGAAATGGTCTAAATTCCGGAACCGTGAGGAACATGCCTTTTTAAAAAAAATGTTGTGGCCAACACAGTTGGGGATTTGGGACTTCAGGGTTTGATCCATCCCCCATGATCCCCATGTGTCACATCATTCAGCCTCTTCAGCCGAGCTTTTTTTTTGCCTTGACCAAGGCGTTCGTCTGTTCGTTTGCACCACTGGGCAGGTAGTCCTGGATGTAGTCCTTCTCGTTCAGGGCGGGTGCGGAGGGCGGAACATCATCCGTCCATGGGAAACAAGGGACACTGAGGGAGTCAGCAGACGAATCCTTCACTTCATGGAGGTGTCCGCAGACGCCAAATGAAGACTGAGCGTCCTCCGCGGTGATGCTACCTGCTTGGTCAATCGGAACGCCGGGCTTTGTTTTGGGTCGCCCTGAATGAACTGGCTCAAGCAGGAATCTACAGATTTCTCCCGTCGACTTCCACATCATCTCCCTCGCAAAATCGTCCGAAAAACCGGTGGCATCGAGGCCATGAATTGGAAGTGCCTGGTCATCGGCCGGTGGACGCCTTCGTCGCCGCAGTCCACCTGCCAGGCCTCCTCCGCGACGCCGCGACGGGCGGGTCGAATAGATAGACTCGGGCGGTGAGGATTTTCAGAGTGTAATTCGAGGTACTTGCCCAGTCGCTAACTTGGACTTACTCTCTCTGGAACTCCTGTAGGTTAAGCTAAGCTAAAGCATGAAGCTAAATTGAAGCTAACATGTTGTTACATTTATATAACAAAAGTTATAAGTTGGTTAGGACTACTTCTAAGATCTTATAACCTATGTGTATATAGTAACCTGAACCTAGAAGGTTATAATTTGTTATAAGTTATAGGTAACTTAACAAGATGTGATGTAATACAATACTACCAACTTTCGAGGAAACAATTGTTCCTAACCAGAAATATCACATGCAGACGGAGTTAGCTAAGTCAGAGCTAAGTCAGGCAAGTCTAACTTGGACTTAGCTTTGACTTATATATTTATATATATATAAGTGATGAAAGTAGTGATGACTTCTAAGTCAGACCTAAGTTAAAGCTAAGCCAAATCTCCCTCAAGGCTAAGTCAAAACTAAGTCAGCTTATAGGTCCAAGCTAGTTTAAGGTAAGTTGAGCAAGATGTCGGTAAATTGGCATAAAACTACAAGTAGTTCCCGGGCAAGCCGGCGGCGGAAGTTTCCAAAAGAATAAACCTATAGGAAATGGGCATGTGGCAGGCTGGTTCGCCGAGCTGCAATGTTCTTTGACAAAACAAGTTGGAACCGACCAATGGAGCGAAAGCGAAGCAACCACCGTCAACTGTCTCGCAGGAAAACACGTTGTTCATGCATTTTGCAAAATACAGAATCGAGATGACTCAGCCGCGTACTAAAGTTGTACTACAAAGTCGCCAGTTCTCATCTTCCAGCTCCCCAGCTACTCCGCGTACTAAAGTTGTACTAGAAAGTCGCCAGTTCTCATCTTCCAGCTCCCCAGATACTCCACGTACTAAAGTTGTACTACAAAGTCGCCAGTTCTCAGCTGTCCAGCTCCACAGATTGCCCCGCGTACTAAAGTTGTACTAGAAAGTCGCCCAGTTCTCATCTTCCAGCTCCCCAGATACTCCGCGTACTAAAGTTGTACTAGAAAGTCGCCAGTTCTCATCTTCCAGCTCCCCAGATACTCTGCATACTAAAGTTGTACTACAAGGTTGCCAGTTCTCATCTTCCAGCTCCCCAGATACTCCGCGTACTAAAGTTGTACTACAAAGTCACCAGTTCTCAGCTT